ACACACAAGGCTAGAAGTATAGCAGTGTTTTTCAAATTATGCACCAAAGAAACCCAGTTATTATTTCAGGAGCAGCCTAATAGGTGGAGAAGAAAGGACAAATCAAAATGCAAGTCTAGCGAGAGAGCCAATTATAGTTTTGCAGATGAAATTTAACCCATTTAGTATTGTAGGATTAAAGTTAAGATCGTCCCAAACTGCACAAAGTGGAAAAAGTCACCATAGATCAGAAACAGTTCCACAGCGGCTGGACTTGCTGAGAGGATCTAAGGGCCTCCGCAAAGAGGGAGGTCCTCACATTGTCCTCGCTTACGTCCTGTCCTATGGCAGTTCAGATTTAATTACCCCACCCTTTGTTCTTCAGACGGCCCCACCATGTCTCTCTCCTAACTTTCATTTGTTCTCTAGAAAGGCAAAGATCAACTTTACTATCCACAGAAATTATTTGAGGGTCATTTCAGAGTCATTATGAATTTCTACACTAACTCAAGAATGAAGAATTTCGTTATACAGCGATGATACAGCAGGAAAGATATTGAAACCAGCCATACAGCAGGGTTAGCACATGATGAAAGCTGACTACAAAACAGGGAAGAACAGGCTGGAGTTAAAAAGCTATCTCCAGTAATGGTCAGAAGACAGTGGTTGGATGGGCCATGGCCAAAACTTGTCCAGAAAGGCAGGAATTCTGCCCAAGACCTGGAGCCTAGCCTTCCTCAATTATGCCACAGAGTAATCAGCATCTGCATGTAGACAAGGGGGATCGGAAATATCTGCTGAATGCCTTGCTGGGACAGAAGTACAGTGATTGAGCCTTCTATCAGAGGGCTCTGCCCTACTGCCACAGGGAGAAATAACAGGGCAGTTTGCAAAAATTTAGAAGTATTTGATCCTTTGCACACTTGGCATTGCACTTTGTATGTGATAGCATTTTATAACTATTAGTTAAAGATGATGCAGAAAATGTCCTTATATTTTCTCCTGGGAAATGACTTTCTTTGAAAAAGTGAACTGGAAAATAAAACGTAACTACTTCCAAAAGTAATGGCAATAAACAAGAATGAGTCCTTCATGCCACTGCTGTCCCTATGCAGCAGAGGTAATTTCCAAGGAATATGAAAATTGGAAGGATTTCTAGGTATCTCTTTATACATCAGCAAGACTTCATTGCAAAGTCTTTGGCCAAATATCAAGCCCAACAGTTCTCTGCAGTCCATGCCAGTCTTTACTCTCTGGAAAGTCATCTAATTCCTATTTGAGATGTGTTTTACCAACTTCTTAGTCACCTGCAAGAATCATAATCTTTCCCATTATGCTGTGGGGAGAGTAGAGGAAAATTTTCCTAGTAGCCAGGGAGGTGTCTCGCATCCCCACTGCAATTTATTTAGATTTATCAGAATATAAGCGTCCAACAGAATTTTCCCCAACCATTTCATCAAAACCAAACTAAAGGAAAAGAAAGCAAAAAGGAAATGTCATCTTTTGTTTGCTTCACTTGAAACTTATTATAGGAAATGGCTTTGGAGTATCAGATCTGACATCTTATGAGATTTAGCTCCCTTTTCATTTTGGTTGTTCCCACTTTCACCCCAATATTAATTCACCTCAGAACACAAAGATGGAGGTTTGAACCTTGGTCTGTTGAGATGTATGACCTTGAATAAGTCACCTAACTTTTGTAAACATCAATTTTCTTGTCTGTCGATGGAGATAGCAATTATAATGAGGCTGTTGGGAGGATGAAATGAGCTGGAGGATATAAAAATACATTGTAAACTATAAAGCGCCCAATAAACAGAATGATAAATACTACAGAGGAAGTGATGGGGTAGTAGAACAAGCATTGGATTTGAGACAGGGTTATAAATCCCAAATGGTTTTTTTTTTTAACAGTTGTCTGATTTAAAATAAATCATCTACACTATAAAAGCCCATTTTTCCTAATTATAAATGTGGATCATTAAGCTACTAAAGGGCTTCACAGAGTTTTTATAATTGAAACAATAGTCAATTGAACCAGAGTGGACACGTGGCCCAAATTATGCCAATCAAATTCTCTCTTCTCTCTGAGAATTTGGGATTGGGACTGAAGGACTGTCCATCTTTTCTGGGCATCTTTTCTTGTCTGAGAGGGGAGAATTCAAGTGTATTATACAAAAGATTGGTGAAGGATGGAATAGGTTAAAGAGAAATAGATACAAACATGGAGAGAAAAAGAGCATTCCTTGATTTCTTTACTGTCCTATTACTGGGTGACATCTCCATGTATTCTTTTTTTTAAATTGAGTTTATTGGTACATTTTAGGGATACAGTACAGTTACATTCATCACTGGGACCTTGTACCTTTACATGACAGGTCTTGGTTCTCATTTTTCCCCCCATGCCCTTGCCCTCCCTTCACCCCTCCCCATGTATTCTTATTGTAAATTCCTCTGGATTAGTCAAGGTTCAGTCCCAGATAAGAGAATCAACCTATGAAGAAAGGAGTTTAGAGTGGGAATTAGGCACTCACAAAAGGTTTGGGAGGGACAGAAGGCTGGGCCCAAGCTTTTAGGGCAACTCCACAAACCAAACAGCTCCACACATGGGGTCCAGTGAGGGAGTTGTCATCATTTCCAGGAAGCTGGGACAGCCGGAAGCTGTTCGCTCAGCTACTGGCTTTAGAATCATGCTGCTTTTGTCAGGATCCACGCCTGGAAGGTCCTTGATTGCTGTGAAGAACCAGCCCCCGACATTTCCAGTCCCACACACCCTCACCAACTGGTGGGCACGGCCTCCACCTCTTCTGCAGCTTTGCTTGGTGGAAGTTGAGTGCCGTGCGGACTGCAGGAGTCTGAGTAATGTGGTCTCTAGAGTTGCAGCCTGTGATGCCGTGAGCCGTGGATGTGGATACAATGAAGTCCAGTGAGCTAATATGCATGTTCCTTTCACATCTATCTTTTCTCTTCCTAAATCAAATCCAGTCAATTTCTGTTTGCTGTAACTGAAGAGTGCTCCCTAGCACACCCGCGTCACTGTCAGACTCTCAGATATGCTGCATCGGAGCTATTAGCTTCCTTAGACTGAGGTGCTCACCTCAGAAAAGTAACAGAAAAGTATGGACAAACCGTGGCGAAGGTTGGGGCACCGTGACCTTTACATTGCCTTTCCAGTCCTCTTTCAATACTTTCTGTGCCAGTTACTTGTTGACAAGCTCTGAGCTTAAGATAATGGGTACTGCTACCATCAAAAACACAAAAAGCAAGAAATGCTGGCGAGGATGTGTGGCAAAAGAAACATTTCTACATTATTGATGCGATGTAAACTACGACAGCCATTATGGAATTAGTAGAGAGAGCCCTCACAAAACTAGAAATGGAATTTCATCTGAGCCAGTGTTATGGTTCATATCCAAAGCCTCACGCACTCATAGGTGGAGCTTTTGGGAGGCGACTGGGTCATGCGTATGTGATACTCATCACTGGATCGGTTCATTCACAGGTTTACAGTGGGGTGCGATGTTGGGAGGTGCAGTTGGTGGGAAGAGGTGGGCCACTGTGGGCGTGGCTTGGAAGGACACACACACACACACACACACACACACACACACACACACACACACATCCCTCCTCCCCCCGTTGATTCTTTTCTGTTTCCTGGCTGCCTTGCCATGAACTGTTTCTTCTCTCCCATGCCCCTGTGCCGTGCTGCCCTGCCTTGGAGCCAGCTGACTATGGGCTGAAACTCTACAGGCTGTGAATCAAAATAAAGCTTGCCTTCTTTAACTGCGGGTGTTGGTTATTTTGTCCCACCAGCGAAAAATTAACTAAGATACCTAGCCATACCTCTCCTGGGTATATTCTTGAGAGAGTTAAAGGCATTATTTTACAATGATACGTAAATAACTTTGTTGATAGCAGCTCAATTCACAATAGCTAAGCTCTGGAAACAGCCTACATGCCTATTAACAGATGAATAAAGAAAATGTGATCTCTATCTATCTATCTATCTATCTATCTATCTATCTGTCTGTCTCATATATTTATATTACTAGTTTCTCTTAATTCATTGAAAAGAAGGTTTGTTTGTTTGTTTTTGGTACCAGGGATCACACTCGGGACCTTGTGCTTGCAAGGCAGGCAGCAGAACCACTGAGCTAAATCCCTGGCCCAGCAAAGAAGGTTTTGTGCTAATATCTGTTTGTTTCTTCTTTTGAGAGAATCTTTTTTGTGGGTGTCTTATACTCTGAGTAACTACTTTAAAGATAATGATACACAGTGTAGTAACTATTGTTATTCTCTTATTATTTTGTTATTATATTTTGCCTTACTTTTTCATTAAATAAAAAAGGAAAACATAAGTTAAACACAAAATTAAGATCACAATTCTCTCTTATATGAGAAGCCTACAACATACTTAAATAAAGGAGTAGAACAAAGGAGATTTAGGACACAAAAATTCAGACTTAGTTGGAAGTGGAGACACATGCCCGAAATTCCGACATTCTGAGAGGCTGAGACAGGACAATTGCAAGTTTGAGCCGTGAGCAGCTTACCAATTTATTGAGGCCTTGTCTCAAAATAAAAAAAATTGAAAAAGGGCTGAGGATGTAGTTCATTCTGAAGGCTCTGGGTTCAACTCCCAGTACCACAACACAAAACAAAAACAACCTCCCCAAAAGCCAGCAGACTTGCTGGAGAGGGGAAAGGGGACCAGAGAGACCAGGGGAGGGGGATAGTAGGGACAGGATAGTTGTGGTGGTAAAAGGATGAGAGTGATGAAACTATGCACATATACTAATCGCCCAAAATGAATGTAACTCTGATGTACTGCAAACGAGCACTAATAAAACATCTAAAAGATAAAGGTTATTTCTTATTTAACATGAGATAACAGTGGGATAGCTAACCCAGAGGTGGGTTATTTTTGGCATGATCACAACCCTGATCTCAGTCCTGAATCACAGTTGGTCTTTGTCACATCACAGAACACCTGGCAGCTGCCCCTCCGTCCTCCTGTATCTTTAGTGCAGACCTCCTCCCCCTCTGAAGCCTCGCCTTCTCTCTGAGGCAGATCACAGAGGTCCTGGGCAGCCTTCAGGTGATTCTATCTGAGTGCAGCTAGGCCTGGTGTGTCCTGGGAACAGCACAAAGTATGAGACATTTGTTTTGTGACTTACGAGTGAGGGCCGTTAGGTAAGATACGGAATTCTTCTAAGCTTCAGATACTTCTCTAAAGTAGAAGAATAAGGTCGTGACACTGTGAGATAATGAACACAAAGGCCTTGGTAAGGATGAGAGACGAGAGAGATCTTATCCACGGAATGTGGATTCTTCAGGGTTGAGTTTCCGTATCTCTGGGCTCAAATACATCTCTCCTTAGTCACTGCGTCCTTGCCAGGTTGCCCTTAGCTTTCAGTTCTCCATCATGATCTTGTCTTTTCCAGGATCCAGATCTACTTTTCCCCCTTTCCTTTCCTATATATTCTCTTCTGTATTCAGTTCTATGGTTAGATCACTGCTCCTCAGAGCACATTCTCCGGCTGCTGCCGGTACAGCTATCCAGATCTTGAGATTCCCTGTCGCTTACGCTACCCTTTCAATGATTGCAGTGGTCGCCTGGGCTACCACCCGATACTTGTCACATTGTTCTCTGGATGCCAAGGCACTGCTTTTCTCTTGTCATTCGTGGTTGGATCCCTACTTTTCTTTCTTTCTATTTTTTTTCTCATTGAGTTTACTGGTACAAGGTATACAGTACAGATACATTCATCATTGGGATCTGGTACCTTTCTCGTTTTTTTCCCCTTGTCCCTGCCCTCCCTTCACCCACTCCTCCCTTCCTTATTTACAAACACTTTATTTCCAGATTTTCATTTTCTACTATTTTTTCTTTTCCCTTCTTTCCTTTCTCCTACGCTTCCCACTTTCCCTACACCTTTAGCCCCTTTCTTCCTGTTTCACACTGTCAATTATACCATTAGGATCTTATGTACCATTACAGTTTTTCACACCAGAGAAACTCTTCAGTATTTACACCTGTGTGACCTATTTATGTCACTTGGGTGTATATCCTCAGTACGCATCCATTTTCCTATGGGGTCCTTACTTTTCATCTTTGCTCCCTGCACCGCCTGTCTTCTTCCACTTCTATGGCTGGTCCTGGATTTTTAACCTTCCCATGCCAGGCAGTGTTTTCAGATGTGAGGCAGGATCCTCTAGGTCTTTGTTACCAAAGCGTCATGCACTGGTTTTCCTGGGCACTAACAGACATGCAGACTCGACCAAATTAGAGTCTTCACTTAAACAAGACGCCAAGGTGATTCATAGGCGCATGAACACTTGAGGAACACTTGAGAAACACCACGATGTAAGCGGGGAAATGTGGCTAAGTTAGAAAATACTTTGGTGGTTGTCTGGAAAAATTTATTAACCTGTCTCTTGTGATATTCTTGAAATAAATGCCTATTTTCTGCTATGCCTGGCTGGTACTCCTATCAAAAGGGCTGCAATGAGGTATTCATGGGCTTTTTATTCAATGTCCAGGCTTGTGTCATGATGAAATTAACTAAAAAATTTGGAAGGTTATGTATGTGAAGAAATTCACCCTGAGACTGTCCTTCCTACTTTTGAATTACAATGAAAGAAAGGATTCTGCATTTATGAACTGTAAAGAGGAAGAAGTCCTGACGTCCATTTTGTAATCTGTGGTGTTTCCCTTTCCCTGCCCCAGCCTTCCCAAAGTTCTCCTGGAGGCAGCAGCTGAGTGCAGATCAGAGCATGCTGGTCATGGGGGAAGCGAGGGGAAGCTCTGAGAAGCTGGTAGTATCTTGGGTGACACGACTGAACTGATGGTCTCTCCTCCTAATGTTTTTATTCAGAACCTATTTCTATTTTGTTTCATCTATTAAATACACTCAAACCTGGTCCTAGGTGGTCTCTGCACGCTCACCTCCCACATGGCTTCGCTTTCACTTATATTGGGTTTCACTTCCGTTTATATTGTCGCTGGATGACAGCTCGCTTCTATGTGGTTTTAAACCCAAATCGCCCTATGTTTCTGACAGAGCGTCTAAGGAAGACAACTCTGCCATTCTTCGCACTGGTATCAGTCTGACCTGAGCCTGTCCCAGCAGCACCCGGGTCCTCTGCATTTCAGGACTGTGATGAGCTCCATGATCTGCACAAGGTAAGCTGTTATTTTCCTTCACGTGCGACAAGGTTCTGGAGATGGGAAAGAAGAGAAGGCTTGAAGGCATAGTTAAAGATAAGAAGAACGGAAATAGGGAGGCTGAAAGTGCCCCCATGCTGCGTGATAAATCAGGAAGTGGTGGAACCGGCAGTCAGTAGAAAGGCAAACATTTTCCTTTCTTCTTGAGCATAGCAGTAGTGGTTAAAACACAGTAAGCTAAATTTCAGGCAGGATTTTTTCCTAAACTGTGGCAAATGCACAATGACGATCACTTGTCTTTATTTTATTTGGTACCGGGGATCACCCTTGGGTCCTTGCATATAGCTTTATCTTTAAGAAAATGTTTGTGATGTGGCCATAACCTTGAAGGATGCTACTACGAAGTTTCCGAAAGCATATAGCGATCACTCAGAAGTGTGTGCACTCTGGGAAAGACTTTCCGACGTTGACAGAATACCAGACACGCACAGGTATCACTTATTCCCCACAGGAAATGGGGGAAGAGGTGAATTCTTCGCTATCACAATAAAATACTTATCTTCAGTGACTATATAGCAGCCAGTTTTAGCTGAATAAGGGAATAAGAAGGGAAAAATTTATAAATCAAAGTTTGGCTGATGGCAGCACAAGTAACTGTGAGTGTCAGCTTAAGATATACGGACTCCTTCTGAAATGTGGCCCTTAGGCTATGAGTATTGCAGCTCCCGGGAACTTCTTCTGTATTGGGGATTGAACCTGAGGTCTTTGCACTGAGCTACACCCCCAGCCCAGCCCTTTTATTAGTACTGTATGTGTTTGCAGCACATCATGTTTATACTGATCTTGGGAGCAGGTACATGTACATAATATAGATTGTTTTCCTTTTTCAGCTGCCTTGCCCTTCTCACCCACCTCTTTCCCTCTGCCTCCAAATCTCCTTTTCCTGTTTTCACTCTTGTTATTATTCTAAGCTCGTGTTTGTCATATAATTTTACATTCATTGAGGTTATTAGAGTCCTGTATGTGGCGCATCTTAATTCTTCTTACTTCCCCTCCCTCTCTCCCCTCCCTCTTGGTCTCCCAGACTCATTCCCATTTGCAAGAGATCTACCTTCTTGTTTCTTTTTATTCATCCTTTATTTTTTTTCTTTTTGGTATCAGGGATCGAACTCAGGACCTTGCATTTGCGAGGCAGGTGCAGAACCAATGAGCTGAATCCCTGGCCCTGTTTTCTTCCTTTTTTATTTTGATAATTTTCCCAGCCTGGGTTTGAACTTTCCATCCTCCTGCCTCAGCCTCCCAGAGTGTTGGGATTATAGGCATGTGCCCCCAGGTCCTGCTCCTAGAAACTTGTTATAAATGCACATTCTCAGGCCTCACCCTGATTTTCTGCATCACAAATTCGGGCTGTGGGGGCCCAGTGAGCAGTGCACTAATAATGAGATCTCCTGGCAATTCCAGTGGCTGCCAGGTTGATGACACAGGGCATAGCCCCAGGCATCTGCAACCAGGCCTGAGTTCCTTGCAGCTTTGCCATCATTTGCTGCATGGCTTTGGCAAGTCTCCCTGGACCTTAACTTTCTCCCCTTCAAAATGAGGATCATCTCCTCCCTTCACAGATCTGTTGTGGAGCAAGTGAGCTGATGTGAATCTGTGTTGCGCACACACTTAATGCTTTTCCTTTTTCCTTCCCTGGACCTGACTTCCTGCTAGAAGATCTAGGATGAAAGAGTCATCAATATTGCTGGAAAAATAACAGCACTTTCACACACTCAAGGAAAGAGACGTCTCATACTAAGTCAGCTATCTGCAGCTCGTGCCTGCGCTGTCCCACACAGGGGACTCTGGCCACATCTCCAGTGACATGAACACGAATATACAATACACATAAGATTTTTAAGATAACATGAAAAAGTTTGATTTGTCATTTTTTTATATTGATCATTTGTTGAAATGAAGTTTTGGAAAACAGTGGGTTAAATATATCTCACCTTCTTGTAACTTATAACAATGGGGCAAAAAGGAAATATAAAAGTGCTGTGTAAGAGGCGCACACGGACTTCCTGTTGGACAGCACTGGTCCAGGCACCCCTGGCTCCCTGCACTGTCTTAATGTCAGGTCTCAGGGACAAGGGAAGCGACTGCTGATAAAAACTGTTGGCTTCCTGGCTACAGACTGCGGTCTCTGTGGCATTGTTCCTCATTATTATCTTTGCAGCATTTTGCAGCTGCAGAGGATTCCACGATCTTTCATCAGTTATTCTTCACAACACAGCCTGCGAGGCAGGTCCCTGCTAAATTAGGAGGCTTGTGAAAGGGACTTCACCATTCAGAAGCCAGTGGATGCCTCTACACACCCCTAACACACGTGGTGACGTTAGATCACAAAGGCATGAAAATATCTTCAGAAAGAACTACCAACCAGAGGCAGATGCAAACAGGATGTTAGTCCCGAGTAACGGGATTGTTAATAATGTTCACTCCTAAATAAAGTTCACTGAGTGAAAACCTCCATTCCAGCTCATTTTCCCCTCTTGTTTTCTTAAAGGCAGAATCTAGAGACTCGGTTAGCTACTCAGACACTTAGAAAAGTCAGTTTCCAGGAAATGAGAGTTCTTTAAGCTTCTGCTCACTCTGCTTCTCTTGCTTCACAAAAGACAACTGAAAGGCACTTCCTTCAGATGCCTGTTTGTCCTCAACACGACTTAAACATCTGCTATGGAAATCATCTGTCAATCAAGTATATTACAGAGAGAAACATTTACGGAATTACCTGAGTTGAGATGTTTCAAATGACAATTTCTTATTTGCACTTCTTAAATGATTCAAGACAGCACAAACCTGCTCTGATCCTTGAGAGATTTTAGGATTATGGGGACTTACACTCTGTGTTTTAAATATTTACTCATTTTAAGAACCCAACGCTTACAGAAAATGCATTCCAATAACAGAAAGAAGCTGGCCGTGTAAGGACACAGGACTCATCCACACATCTGTCTCTTAGCGTGGTTGGGTGATGCTGCCTGGTAAAAAAGCAACCAGCGACATGAGCAGTGGGCAGATGGTAGGGGCAGACGACTGCATGTCAGGAAAAGGCTGCAAGAAATATCTCAGGACTCTTGCATTTCAGTTTTTTTTTGTTTTGTGGGGGGATGCAGAAAGTTCCCAGTTAAGGGCAAGTAAATACGGGGCACCTGCTCAATGCTGGGCACTAGGCCAAGCACAGTGGGTGCAGAACTGAAGGAGACAAAGCCCCGTTCCAGCTCGGACTAAAGTAGAAATAAATGTTAATCCGTGCCACACAGCCACGAGGATGACTGTATTGATTTTCATGTACAGGGCTCATTGCTTTCCTTTTTCTCACTTGCTGGGCATCATTGTTGGTATCAGGTCCTTGGAACAACAATGTTACATTTTAAAAGTATAAAAGATGTTTAAATTTTAGCAGCAGAAAGAGAGATATTTTGCACACAGTAGAGAAAAACGTTATTAGAATCTGGACTTGGCATTAAAATCAAGAATGCTTTTTTTGAATGAATGACGGCTTCTTCGAAAGGTAAAATTGTGGTGTTTACGATGCAATCTGGAAGCACTTCAGACTATTTACACTTTTCCTTTTTCTGAAAAGAGATCTGTGGACACTCATTCATCACATGAGCCGTTTTGCTGCGTATTTTGTACACGGCCGACTGCAGCTGTTGATATCGGTGTGAACATTAACAACAGGATAGAATGACAAGGTTACCAGTGGTTCAGGGCAAGATACGGTTAAAGGTTACAAAGAGACTTTATGAATACTTGCAATCTCATCTTAGTCCTTAATTAATTTCTCTACATTAGCTCTGGATTCCAAAATAAGTTTTTTGCTTATTTTTTTCTCTCTTCCCAAATAGCAATATTTATCCAGTTGTCTACTTCCTAGTGGAGAGATTTCTACCCACCAACATTTGGTCCCACAGGAATCTTTATCGTTAGTGAAACATTTACTATTGAGGCTGCTGCTACACGGGTCACTGAAGCTGTTGTCATCCTGTATTTCTCTCGATGAGAGAGAGACTTGCTTGAGCCCTCGTTTTGTATTGTTTGGCTTTCAAACAGGTCTCCCACCTCCCAGATGTGCTGTGTCCCCTTTCTTCTGCCACCCCTAAGAAGCACGTGGCTCCCTGTGTTGACTGCACGAATGCCCCACCTCCTCTCCCTTTCCTGAGCCCAGGTCCTCTGCGGTGTCATTTTGTGATGTCTCACTGCTGTGGGCGGGGTACATGGTCACGCGACTGCCCTGTCATCGCTAGGAGAAGAGCGGCCTAGGCTGGCAGTTCCAGGAAGAGGCTGAGACACACGCGGAGCCACTTCTAGGAGACTCTAGCCAAGAGGCTCCCGTGCCCAGGCACAGGCTTGGGAGGAGCAAGCGATGACTGTTGCTGCAAGCCACTGTGCGATGGGATGGTTTCGCACAGCAACAACCAGCTGACCGACCCACTTCCTACTCATTACCACAGACTCCAGATTCTCCCCTCGTCTGCTCTGTATTTTTCTTTTACACCCAGCCTCACTCTGCCCTAACAACTGGGGACAGAAAGTGAGACATACTATGGTCCTGGCAAGATGGAAGGAAAAATAAGGGTCAAACAGAAAAAACTGTGAGTTTCCTAAGGGAAAGACAGCAATTCACTTGTCACCATCCTGCTCCCAAAACTGTCCTCCCATATCCTGCCTCTCTTCTGCCCCTTACTGTCCTCCTTGAATTCCCAGATTCTCATTAGCACCCTGCACAATGAGGCTGGGGGGGGGTCTATTCTAATCATTCCTGACATCTGTTGAATGCTAATCTTATATTAAGCACTGAGCCGAGTGCTTTACTTGGGTTATGTCGCTAGGCCCCTTTATAGGCTGTGAGATGGGTCACATGATCTACATTTCGAATAGGAAGAAGCTCAGGAGATGTCAAAAGTCCGGCCTGGGATCCACAGCTGGGAAGCGGTAAAGCCAGGGCTCTAATCCAGGACTGTGCTGCCACG